TGTCCCGGGTCCGTTGAGCAGGTTGCAGCCTGGTTGGGACATGCATCCCTGCACTTGCAGTCTGGTGAAGATTTCCCTGAGGAAGGCGGGGGAGAGGCAGCGAGGCTGCTGCAGGACCAGCCGACCTCAGAGGCCGCTGCCCAGGAAGCCAGTCCACCTCCCTCCGGGCCCTTCCATGCCTCAGCTCCCAGGAGACTCAGATCTCAGTCCCAGGCCCCCATTCAGCCCCCATAGGGACCCAAGGTCCCCGGCTCACCTCCACGAGCCGGAGGATCCACTGTAGCAGTGTGTGCTCCCTCGGGACAGGCCTCTGTCACATCCCCCGCACAGCTGTCTGTAGAAAGGCAGGCTGGGCACCGCAAGGCCCTGGCGCTGGGGAGGTGACAGACAGAGTGAGGGACATAGGGAGGGCTCTGGTTTTGGACCAGATGCCTTCCTCTCGCCCCGAATTTGCTGGCCCCAATCTCCCCAGTGTCCTTCTCGGGCCCCTCTGCCACAGCCCAGGTGTGCAGAATTAGGGGTGTGAGGCCGTGAAAGAGGAAGTGAGGGGGATATGAGGTCTGGGGGGAGCCGGGCACAGTGGCTCACGCCTGTAATCCAGCACTCTGAGAGGATCACTTGAGCCCAGGAGTTTGAGACCAGCCTGGGTAACATAGCCAGACCCCATCCCTAAAATATTTTTTAAAAATGAGGTGGCATGGTGGCACACACCTGTAGCTACCAGCTACTTAGGAGGCTGAGACAGAAGGATCCCTTGAGCCCAGGAGTTGGAGGCTGCAGTGAGCTATGATGGCACCACTGCACGCCAGCCCGGGTGAGGGAGCCAGACCGCTCTAACAACAACAAAAATCTGGGCAGAGGCTCCTGGGCTGAGTGGGGAAGGGGTGCTGGGGTGCAGGGGCGGGGCTGCTGAGGGCGCACACAGACAGCCCTGGTCAAGTCTGACCGGAAGTCTGGCCTTCCGAGGCTGACATGGACACAGACTCCTCGGTCAAGGCAGGAGGGGTCCCCTGGAAGAGCCCCTGGCTTCACCTGCAAGTGCTACTAAACAGTAAGGAACACAAGACACGCGAGTTCAAAACTATTCCAGAGCCAGGCGCAGTGGCTCACCCTGTAATCCTAGCACTCTGGAGGCCGAGGTGGGTGGATTGACTCAAGTCAGAGTTGAAACCAGGCTGAGCAAGAGCGAGACCCCGTCTCTACTATAAATAGAAAGAAATTAATTGGCCAACTAATATATATATATATACATATATTATATATTAGATATATACACACACACACACACATATATATAAAATAGCTGGGCATGGTGGCACATGCCTGTAGTCCCAGCTACTCGGGAGGCTGAGGCAGGAGGATTGCTTGAGCCCAGGAGTTTGAGGTTGCTGTGAGCTAGGCTGCTGCCATGGCACTCACTCTAGCCTGGACAACAAAGTGAGACTCTGTCTCAAAAAAAAAAAAAACTTCCAGAGAAGAGAAGCGCAACACATCGCCCCAAACTCTATTTACAGCAGCCGACATGGACAGTGGGAAGGTAGGGGCCATGTTACTCAGGAACAGGAAATGCAAACGCCCTACGGGAGACATTGGCGAAGCTACCCGACAGTACAGAAGAAAGGACAACGCACGCGATGAGCAGGCGAGCACGGTGGCCAGAGTGTGCGGCTGGTGGTTTCACGTGAGACATCAATCCAGGCTGCTGCCCCGGGACCGTTAGCAGCGGCTGGGCAGGGAGCCCTGGGCGGGCAGGGCACAGGGCGGTGGCAGGGATGGGGAGTGAGTGCAGAAGAGATGGGGAAGCAGGGGGCCAGGGGTTCAGGGCGCCGGCAGGGAGGGCTGCAGCGAGTGGGCCACGCCCTCTGCGGCCCCTCCCTGCCTGCTCCTCTGGGCCCTCCTCCTGTGGCACCTGTCTGGAGGGGCGGGGCCCAGACCGGAGCGCTGTTGGAGAGGTCGTTGCAGAGGTCCGCCTCGCGGCACACGTGGGTGTAGGAGACCACGGAGAGGCCGGGGCCTGTCCTGTGCAGGGTGACGCGGGCCTCGTGGTCCTCCCCCTTAGTGCAGCCCTTGCTGATCACCACCATCGCCTGTGGTCCTGGCCAAGAGAGGGAGGCAGGCGGGCGGGATCAGGACTCCAGCGCCCAGAGCAAGGGGCTGCATCGGGGCTTGGGGTGAGAGGCTGGAGGGGAGGGGCTGGGCACCCGAGGGGCTGCACCTGCTGGGGAGGGGGCTCCTGTGACCCTGCAGGGGAAGGGGCGGGCTGAGCGCCAGGGGCAGGGCCCTCCTCACCGTTCTCAATGATCATCAGCGTGTCTTGGCAGCCCTCGCCGCTGCCACATTGTTCCTGTTCAGCTGTCCATTGGACGGGCAGGGCCGATACGTTGAACACGGAATTATGTCTCAGCAGCTGGCAGAGCAGGGCCTGCACTCCTGGGGGGAGAGAGCAAATCCATTTCAGCAGAGGCCCTGCCGCTCCTGCAGGCAAGTCCTCTCCAGGGCGAGGTCCTCACTCACCGGGCAGCGTGAGGGTGACCCCCAGGAGGGCCAGCAGGAGGGCAGAGCTCATGACCGGTGTGCAGCAGAAAGTTCCCTACTGCTCTTCCAACCAGGAAACAAGCCCTTTATACGTCCCCTGACCCAGCAGCCAGGAAAGGGGTGGGGAGGGCAAGGCCTTGCTAAACCGAGGCCTGGGCCGAACCCTCAGTCTCAAATGCTTGAAGGGCCTGGTACCAGGGCCCCTCCTCCCTCAGACCCGGGGGTCCAGGCCCCAGCTCCCCGCACAATTGGAAACTGAGGCAGCCTGACTCCAGGGCCCCCTGGTCTGGATGCCTGGCCCCCTTTCCCATGTGCCAGCTTTGAAGTCCCCACCCCCACCCAGTGTCACAGCATTTGGGAAGGCAGTTTCCTCACCCCTCCTGGCCCCACGGCCACTTCTGGCTTCAGGTGGGGAAGTGGCCCAACTGCCTGTGAGGACACTGTGCCGGGGGCACTGGCCAGTCCCCACAGTCTTCCTGCCCCAGCCTGCACTGCCTGGCTACTCCTCCCTCTTGGTTCTCTTTCCTTCCTATGTGGCTTTCCTTTCCATTTCCCCTTTCGTGACTTTGGTTCAGGCTTCCTCTTCTGTCCTGTCCCCTCTCGGCACAGCATGGGCCCTGAGCCCCCACTTCCTTGTCCCCCAGGAAAGATTAAGGTGTGGCCTGGGGAGAGGTGGGAGTGGAGACAGATGTGGGCTGAGGAATGAAGATGTGTCCCGACAGAGCAACGTTTCTTTGCTGGAAACAGGTGGGGCCCGTGGGGGCTGGAAAGCCAGCTCTTCAGAAAAACATCAGCAAACCCTGCCTTGTCGTGCTGGCCTATTTCTGTGGTGTAAATATTCCCAACGTGTCTGATTTGAAGCTACAGGCAGTTTAATATCCAGCTGGGAAAATTCCTAGCTATTCAACCTCAGCTTTCACAGGCCTGTACAAACCAGCTCCAGCACACTGGGTAGGTAGGAGGGAGACAGGAGGGAATGAGGGGTGTCTGCCAGTGACTGCAGAGGGAAGAGGGGGGTGTGTGTGACAGAGAGAGGACAGGCCGAAGACGGAGGGTGAGAGCACATATCGTTGAGAAAGAGAAATGAATTTGTAACTTGTAACTATGTTTATTTTTGACATCTCTATACACTCCATCTGTTTTTGCAAGTTTGTTATTTTGCTACACGGGCGGGGACATGTTTGTCTGATCTCCTACTGTGTCTACACCCCCTACATGGCATATAGTAGGGGGTGCTTGATAAATGCTTATTGATTGAATAATGAATGAGTGGAAAGGGAAAGATGGCAACAGAGCCATCTCCGTAGTGAATTCAGGTTGTGCACTGTGGCAACCTTGGCCCCTCCCCAGCGATTCACATTGTGTGGGAGTGGCTCCCTCTGGCTTGTGCATGGCCTGAAGCAGTGTCCCTGCTGGAAGAGGTGAAGGAAGTATTGGCAAAGGGGCTCATAGGGTCATAGGTGCTCCATTAAATGTCTTGTTTTAGTCAACAAATACCCCCGAGGCCGTTGTTGTGCCAGGCAACATCCTAGTCGCTGGAAATACAGGGAAACAAAGAGGAATGGGGTTGCTACTTTTCGAGGAGCTCACAGCCTAGTAAGACAGACAGATCTGAAACAAATACATGAGCATGGAAAATACCAGATGGTTCTGGTTTGCTTGCCAGGGAGTGAAAACTAGGTGACCTGAAAGTGAGAGAATGAACTAGCTTTTTCAGCTTACAAGGGGCTCAGGGAGGTGACATTTTTGCCCCAGGCAGAGGGAAAAGACAGAGGCAGCTCTGGAAAGACTCACAGAAAGCACGCTGTAGGCAGGGAGGAGCAGGTGCAAAGGCCCAGAGGTGGTATGGAGCTTGGCTTGTGTAGGATTAGAGAGAGCACAGGTGGCTGGACTGCAGTGGATGACAGGGAGAGTGACAGGGGGTGACAGGGGATGAGAGCAGAAAAGGCTCGCAGGGCCGCTGATGTAGGACTAAGTGTATTAAGGCAGCCTTCCTGGGAGTCCACCTGCTTTCAGGTGGCAAATGCAAAGGCTGGGGGTGGGGCTGTTGAGCTAAGAGTCTGCCAGTCCTTGGTCTGTTTAACTCAGGTGCCACCGGGCCTGGCTCTGCTGCCTCAGACTGTGTGGCCTTGGGTCATTCACTTGCCCCTGCATCTCGTGGGGCGTGGGGAGGATTAAGAGCATTAATTATGCTAATTACACCCCCTAAGTAGCTTCTCAGCAAATGATGAAGATAGTTAGCATGTGAGCCGTATTCTGTTCCAGGCCCTGGTCCCAGTGCTCATTCAAGCATGGCCACAACTGAGGGAGATCCTATTAATAGCCCAATTTCGGCCGGGCGTGCGGTGGCTCACGCCTATAATGCTACCGCTCTGGGAGGCTGAGACAGGATCGCTTGAGTTCAGGAATTTGAGACCAATCTGAGCAAGAGCGAGACCCCGTCTCTACTAAAAATAGAAAACTTAGCTGGGCATGGTGGCACACATCTGTAGTTCCAGCTACTTGGGAGGCTGAGGCCGGAGGATCGCTTGAGCCCAGGAGTTGGAGGGTGCAGTGAGCTGTGACGATGCCAATGCACTGTAGCCCAGGACAACAAGAGCAAGACTCCAACTCAAAAAAAAAAAAAAAAAAGTCCAATTTTCTAGGTAAAGAAACTGAGTCCCAGAGCAGCTAAATAACTTGCCCAAGGGCACACCGCGTGGCAGAAGTCTCTGTCCAGCAAAGATCCATGCTAGGTGGTGACTGCCCAGCTAGGGACCACCTTTCCCAGCTCCCCTGCCCCTGGGGGACCGTGGGACTAGATCCCCCTGATGGAACATGGGCAGAAGTGATTCAGGTCACTCCAGAGCCTGAGTGGTTAAGAAACAGCAGTGCCTTCTCCCTCCCCCACGTACCAGCTGGGTGCTAGCATCGGGATGGCCCTGGGGACACAGAGACTGCAAAGCCAGCCTTAGCCTGAGTCGCTGCGTGTCTGAGTACAGCAGGGCACACCTTCCCCTCTGCCAGGTAGACATGATGCAAATGAGAAATAAACATCTATCAAGTTAAACTGTGAAACTGTAGCTTAATGATGTATCTGTTCCTAGCATTTCTAATACACACAGCTTCTGGCTCTTTTCTTAGTCTGAAGCTTGGGGTGCAGCCTCCTTGGCAAGGGGCTCCCGCTGGGCAAGGGCACTTCTCCAGTCAGCCAATACCAGCTGGCCAAGGGCACCTGGGTGAGACACAGCACATCCCCTGCAGCGCAGGACACAGGCTTGATCCCAGGGGCCAGCTCCTAACCCCTACACCACGCACGGATGCATTCGTAGTTGTATAAATACCAACTCCATAACACTAACGGCGACAGAAGCTACCATAGAGCGAGGGCCACAGTAAAGCGCTCTAAGGCACCCACCTATAGCACTGCCGGTACTGGTTTTTTGTTTTTGTTTTTTTTTTGAGACAGAGTCTCACTTTGTTGCCCAGGCTAGAGTGAGTGCCATGGTGTCAGCCTTGCTCACAGCAACCTCAATCTCCTGGGCTCAAGCAATTCTCCTGCCTCAGCCTCCCGAGTAGCTGGGACTACAGGCATGCGCCACCACGCCCGGCTGATTTTTTGTATAT